GTTGTTTTTTGAAGACTGGGCAATTTTTGTCGCGTGCATTGTGATTACTGTTATATTCTGGGTTGTCTTTACAGTTGATGCAGTTTTTAATTTGGGTGCACACCTCGTTTTCTTCGCAATGTGATTTATTGGAGCAATTTGAGCAAATATAGTCACTTTTACAGACTGTAGTAGGGTGTCCAAATCGACAGCATTTTCTGCATTGTAATGGCAGCGGGATGTAGTTTCTCACGCGTACAGCCTCGTAGCCGATCATAATTTTTTCAGGAATTGTAAGTGTTTCAAAAGAGGTTATGATTAGGCCAGTTTCTACAAGAATTTCATTTTGTTTTTTCAGAATTTTTTTTACTTCTACAACCTTTTGGGTCTTCAGTTCCTCAACTATTACCTTTTCGTCGATATTTCGCAATTCGTTAGAGTAGATGACGCCTTTTGATATGTTCAGTGATTTATGCAATGTTGCTGTTACTTCATAATCTCCAATTTTATTTAATTTAAGTAATTTTTGTACTTGGGTAGAATTTTTAGTTTTTATTAGCAAGCTACCTGCTCTTGTTTTTTTGCATGTTTCCACTTCTCCTCCGCAAGTATAATCAATTACTTTTTTGATTAAGAAAGGTGATGCATTTTCTAGTGATTTTTTATCGTTCCTTGTTATTATTAAATATTTTGGGTCGCTTGTATTATAATTATTGTTGTTTAGAAACCGGTTTTGTATGTCTGTTGGAAGTGACATTATGATTGTAATGGAGGGCAAAGGCCCACAGAGCACTTTATGTTTTCGTCTGCTTTAGCTGTTTTTTTATTATAGATATAAAGTTATTTTTTAGAGAATTTTTTTTTTTTCTATAATTGTTTATTCTTTTAATATCGTCTGTATTCACCGTAAGTTTGTTGATAAACAGTAAATTTTTTGTGTATAGGTTTATTCGAACGAAACTGATAAAGCGCCACACGTACTATTTCGCTTGACTTCTTGTTCGGAACTGTGTACTTTATTTATTTTTTGTTAATGTTTTTTGTTTGATTAATTTTATTATTTTTGGCACTGTTTGGTGTTGTGTATGCTGCTTCCGCAGTTTTCGCAATATTTTAGTTTTGTGTAACCTTTCGACTTATTTACTATGTCTTTTATACTGTTCATTTGGATACACAATTTTTGAATACTTTTATTATTATTATTATTGTTTTTAATTTTTATTTTGGTTTTTATTCACTTTTTGGGTTTTTTGTATTTGTCATATTTATCATATTTTTCCTTCTGCGGATTTGTCGTATTCTTTACAAAATTCGCGGTGTTCGTCGCGTAATTGATAACTAAATTCCTCTAGTGCTTCGTCACTAAGGAATTCGTTCACTTCTTTTTCCGCTTTCCCGAATATTTCCTCGTGGAAATTCAAATGATAGTCTAAGTTTTGTTTCGTTTTAAAGTCTTTACCGCAGAAAGCACACGCGTTATGTATTTTTACGTGAAGTTCGCGTTCTTCACTTGTATCGAAATCTAAATCACAGAACCCGCAAGGAAAAGGCTTCATTTCACTCTTAAATATGTTGTTATTATTGTTTTTATTATTGTTTATGAATAATCTTCGCTTTATGTTAATAATATAATATTCACTTATTATAATATAATATTTAATAATATTCACTTTTCACTTCTTTATTGTTTTATGGCAAAAAATTTTCTCAAATTTTTTGCGTTTTACCCTCGTTATTAGTTTTTATTATTATTTTATTTATTTGTTGCAAAAATTTTCTTAAATTTTTGCTTTCATCCTCGTCGCCAGTTTTGTGGTTGCACGCATAAAATTAATAAAACACACAATTTAATAATAGTTCAAATCGTATAATTTTATTTTCCGTAATTACTTTAATATTTTTCTATTTCAACTTTTAATAACTTTAATAATTAACTTTTAATAACTTTAAACAATTTTGGATGTTTATTAACTTTTAATAATTTTTCAACAATTTTAGATATTTTATTTATTTTTTAATAACATTTAATAATTTTAGGTGCTTTATTAACTTTAAACAATTTTGGAGGGTTTTATTAACCTTTAATCATTTTTAATAACTTTAAAACAATTTTGGATGTTTAATTAACTTTTGATAACTTTAAGCAATTTTGGATGTTTAATTAACTTTTGATAACTTTAAACAATTTTGGATGTTTAATTAACTTTTGATAACTTTAAACAATTTTGGATGTTTATTTACTTTTGATAACTTTAAACAATTTTGGATGTTTAATTAACTTTTGATAACTTTAAACAATTTTGGATAACTTTAAACAGTTTTGTATGTTTTGAGAACTTTAATATTTTTATTAAGAACCGATTGAATCTTTTCAATAACGGAACCGAACGTGAAATTGTAATCTTTAACAAAAATCTAATCTTAACATAGATGATCCTGGGTTTTATACCCCCAATAACAGTATCAAAAATCAAGCTCTCAACTCTGTTAAGCTGAAGCTTTTGGTTTTTGTATGGACAAGAGCTTAAAGTTTTGTTCTAACAGAACTTTGGCATAAAGTTTTAATGTTACTTAAAATTGTAACAGAAGCGTCCTCTGTTATTGTCATGACAACGAAAAAATGTAATGCTATTTACATAGCGTCATCTCTCAAGCTCTCTGCTTGAAATTATGCTATGATCAGCAGAAATAGTACAGTTCATCTTTTGACTGTATGTGTGTCATGAATTCTTAAGAAGATGATCACGCGATAGATAGATGCGTGTATCTTCTTAAATGTTTATAGTAACGTTTCCTGCTGTGGCTACTTACTGTCCCAAGTGCGTTTATTAGGGTTTTGTTTATATTGCATTGGAATGTTAAGTGTAGCATAAAATGCTAAAGTATGAAATATTACTATACTTGGATGCTGTATAGATTTTAGAATTTTGTGAAATGATATTTTATTTACTGTATAGATTTTAGAATTATGAAATTGAGTGACCCTAATAAATTATAGATTTTATTAATTAAATTTTTTGGGTACAGTAGAGGAATATTAGCATTAATGCTAATATGTAACTATATTATAAATTGTGATAAAATTCGTTAAATTCTGTGTAATGACATATATCTTGTTTACATTTGAATTTTGCAAATACCCGGAGGAAGTTAATTGTTGTCCCCCGGGGTGTCTACGTTTCCCTGAAATTGCAGAAAGTTTATTTTACGACCGTTTCTGTTATAATGTGGTCCTTGTCTGTTATTATTGGGCCTGTTATTGTGGTTATTATTGTTGGTTGGTCTAAAATTGTTGCGGTTGTTGTAGTTGTTTGGTCTTTGTATAGTACTATTATTGTAAAAGTTGTTATTACTGTTGTTGTTTCTAGATTTATTATTATTTGTCATGCTGAAATTGTTATTGTTGCCTGAATTGTTGTTTTTTCTGAAAGTGTTTTTGTTGGGGTACCTTCTATGGTCATTAGTGTTGTAGTTATTGCGATTATTGTATCGTTTATTATTAGAGATAAACATAACCCTTGCGTTGTTATTATCATTAATTTGTTTAAGTTCTAGGGCTAGGTCTACGGCTGTCTCTAAAGATTTTGGGAGTGCGGAAAAAATAGTTTGTTTAAATTGGTCGTTTAAACCATTTTTAAATACGGTTAAGCTATATTGTTCATTTAGCTGAGTGATAAGTGTTTTTTGTTCAAGTGTGGCATTAGGGCCAATTTGTGCTATTTGAAGTTTATTTAGCTCGGATATTAAATAGAGAATTTTATTTTTGTAGTTAGAAATGTTCAGATTCTCTGCGTTAAGTTGGCTAGTTGGTTTTGTAGTTTCGGTATAGTGGTTGTTGTGTTATATTTACTTGATAACAGGTTTTTTAATTCTTCTAGTGTTGTGGGCTGTTGAATCGCAGTTATGTTTGTTCGTACTATTTGCGATAATTTTACATAAAGTATAAAATCAATAAGTGAACTTTTGCCTGTAGGCGTGAGACCATTGTAAATAATTTCAATTATTTTTATGAAAGGTTCTAGATCTCTGTGATTTCCTAAGAAGCTGGGAATAGCCTTTGTAGCTACTTCTAAATTGAAGTCAGACATGGTTCTTCTTGTGTTATCAGATTCAGTGTTTGAATTTTCAGGAATGTAGGTGATTGGTGTTGATATTGGTGTTGATATAGAGTGTGGTATTGACATATCAATATTGTATTGTGATAATATTTTTATCAATTTGTCTCTTAAATGCCAGAAAATTTCTAAACCAGTTTCTTTATGTTCTTTTGAAAACTTTTCGTTGTATACGTTTAGTATACTTCTTATTGATTCAAGTGTGGAGAAAAGTGTTTGTAAATTCTTGTTTACAGTATCTTTCTTGATTTTTATAGTTTTATTTAAGCATTTATATGCTTTATTAAAATTTTCTTTTTCGACTAATATATTTTGGTAAATTTTTTGCCATGTGGCCATTATATGTTCTTATTCATATTTGTACCTGTTGTCTAACAACGTTACGTTTTAATTTCTTATAAACTTGCTTAACGATAAATGAGATTATTATTATTATTACAGTTATTGATAATATAATTTCTAAATAACTTACATTTGACATATTATTGTTTACAATATTATTGTTTTTATTTTCAATTGTTTTGCCTATTTCATATCCTGTGAATATGAGTGGAATTGAAGTAACCATTTTCTTCCAAAATCCCATTTTTGTAATAAAAATATTTTTTTTTTTTTCTTATAAATTTTTAATTTGTTGATTTACGTAATTTATCAGTTTAAAATGTTTATTATCTATATGTTTAGTTAATTTTTTACTTGTATGGTAACTTTTACCACAAACAAAACAATTGAAATTATTCATAATAAAAAAAAATTTTAATTTTTTTTTTTGACAAAAATACAAAATATAATATAGATGTATAAAAAAAATATAATTTATTAATTCTTCTTATTCCTGTTTCTGCGCAAGTCCTTTATCTCCAGCTTGATGTTCTTCTTTTCTGCAACCTCTCGAAAGAAAAGAAGGTTGTACCTCTCGTACAGTTGAGCAATTTGCTTTCGTTGGCGGAATGCTTTTCCTCTCCGTCTGTTTGGCTTCTTTTTTGGTGGTGGATTGACAGGTGTGGTAGGTCTTTTTCTTGCCTCTTGTCGCCTTTTGTATTCTTCTATTGTAATTGCTTTTGGGCCGGCTGACCGTGGTGTTGGTACATACGTCGGATATGCTTCTTCGTGTTGCACCACTTGTTCTGGAACGTATTCTTCTGATTTTGTATTCGTCGCTTGAAGTATCAATTCGTATTTGCGAAAAATTGCGTGGAAGGTCGCTTCATCTACCATATCGTGTTGATTTCAATTAATTCAAATGGTATAGTTTCTAATTGGTCCGCTTGGCACTGAAGCCTGCAGGATCGCCATGTAATGGCAGGATTGCCATGTAATGTAATGATTGCCATGTAATGTAACTTCTTTGTAATGGAACTAGTGTAATGAATGGCAGGATCGCCATGTAATGTATAAATGGATGTATGGGCAATATTCAATCAATGTAATGGCTGGATCACCATGTAATGTGTTAACCCGTTCAGATGTAGACAGGATCGTCAGGTAAAATGAGACGTAATACTTGTCTTGTGAGTGCGTGTAATTATTCCTGCCTGATACGAGCATGCATCCAAAACCTACTGATGCAATCAAGAACAAGTTATCAAGCGGCTTGTTACCGCTGGTACCTAGACCAGTGTGACTTGGCCAGAAGGAGTGAGAATAAATTCAACAATACATATATTTCTGCAGTCATAAGTATATTCTTGATTTTATTGAACAATAGTTTAGGTATTTATACATTTTTCTAGATTATAGCGATCTCATGACTCCGCCTCTTTATTCCAGACAAAACCTGGAAAAGTATAACCGCAGCCAATCAAAGTGATTGCTGACCTTGCAGAATGCATTGCATAGCGACTACACTGTTTGCTCATTTAGGTCAAACGTCAAAGTTATAATTAGAGTGCATTGACAATATTGCTTGCACATATCTATTGCAATATAGGAAATATTACTATTGGAAATATTGTAACATGTGTTCAGCAATTGGAACAGCGTGTGGCAATACTTTCGTTGGTAATACGAAACTCTTTTGTTTATGTCGCTTTGCTTATGCTTCTTGTACGGTATGCATGAAGTGCAACCAATTCATAAATCTGCGTATTATTATTATTTATGAGTAATGTTAAGTGGCTAAGAAGTAAGTGAGGTAGGTCCACTACAATACATTACACTGGTAATTGGTTCCTGTCCGTCCCGTCGAAATCGTTCACGTTTCGAATTAATTGGTGTACATTATTCAGGGTATCTAGAGCCATTTTACTAGTTTAGAATATTGTAATAATTTTTGAAGAAATCAAAATGTCACAGAGTCAAAGAAATAATAGAGTTATCTAATCAAAATTTAAAACAGACAAAGATACAATTTCAGATTCAAAATCATGTGTTTATTATTTATTAAAATTAGAATATAATTACATTTATTTAGAATAAAGTTTAGAATAAAGTTGATATAAGTTGTATGTTAAATACTAAAAATATAAATGTTATAAAAGAAAAATAAAATTTCTGACTTCCCTTTTTGGTCCGTTTATTTTATTGTCGGCTGGTTGATTGTTGTTACTTGTTGCTGGTTCGCTGCTTGTCTTGTTTATTATTATTGGCACTGTTTGATGTTATGTAAACTGCTCCCTCACTTTTCACAGTATTTTAGTTTTGTGTATCCTTTTGATTTATTTATTAGATCTTTTACAGTGTTCATTTGAATACAATTATATATTTTTTTTCTAATAATACCCGTTTTTTTTCATATAGGCGATGGCTTTTTTGCCTGCTTCACTATTGCACTATTTATTTTTTTGGTTAATCTCTCTGCTTTTTCGAACGAGGTTTTGTGAGAGTTTTGATGGTCTTTTAAATTTTTTTTTGATTTAAAATCCTTTTCGCAAAAGCCACAAAGATTATGTATTTTTAAGTGAAGTTTGTAACGAACTTTTTCGGCCCTATCTTCAGCCGGGTATAACTCAGCGAGTATACCAGGGGTACGTTAAAAAAATTTTAAATAAGAACAGGAGACACTGTGTTTCGTGTTTTTAGGATGATGTTTATTAGAATTAATGAGAATTTTTAAAGTTAGAGATTAACTAAAACCAAAGCGTTGATTGCTGGAGTCGTTATATCCGATGAGAGGGCTGGACAAACCGGAAGCGTTGGATTGTTGAGGCGTTGGACAAACCAGAAGCGTTAAATAGCTGAGGCGTTGGACAAACCGGAAGCATTGGATTGTTGAAGCGTTGGACAAATCGGAAGCGTTGGATTATTGAGGCGTTGGATAAAACAGAGGCGTTAAATTGCTGAGGCGTTAGACAAACCGGAAGCGTTGGATTGTTGAGGCGTTGGATTAAACAGAAGCGTTGAATTGCTG